GGTTCTTGTTCATATCTTCTATTTCTTTGCTGAAGCTTTCTGTTTTCTCATTTGTTATAAGCATGTGTGTAATTTACTCATATAATAAATGTTTGTACCATGCTTGAAATATTTTTCATAGCTGCTGCAAAATCTTTGTCAGGTAATTCTAACATCTCTGTCATCTTGGTGTTGCCATTTATTATCTTTTTTATTTAATTTGAGATTTTCCTGGTTCTTGGTATAATGTGTGATTTTTAATTCAAGCCTGGACACTTTCATGTCATGTTAGTAGACTCTGGATCTTACTGAAAGCTTTTAACTATCTTTTTCTGATACTGCTCTACCAAGGAAACGAGGGAGGTCACCTTATAATTGCCAGATGGCGGTAGAACCCCAGATCCCCCTGACCTGAGGGGGTTCCTCCTTACTGCTGGATGTCCACTGTGAGGGTTCCACTTCTCCACGTGATCTCCACTGACAGTGCGGTGGGGATGACACTGCTACCCTTGAGTGATGGTGAAACTCCTGACTCTGCACCAGGTCTCCCCTGACACCCCCTAGCAAAGAAGCAGAGAAGCATTTGCTTCTGTCCTTACAGCCAGGTTGGGAGTGGGTGTTGGACTGGGTCAGCCTGGCCCTTACGGGTACAGGAAGTTTACCACCATTACTATGATTGACAAGCTTTCATAGGAAGCCCATGGTTGAAATTTGGATGAAACCATTTCCCAAAGTACAGGAGCTGGTGTTACCAGATTTCCTTACAGGAAAAGGTCCTGGGTGCAAAAAAACATGAGATACCTAGTATATTCCTATTCAGTTTTTAGGTAATTTTGAATGTTTCTTAAAAAAAATCTTTTTGGTGATTGAGGCCTCTTTAAAAAGGCAATGACAGAGAAGGTAGAATAACATTCAAGTCACATCATCTCTTTTTTCAACATTCACTCATTCTGCTACTGTTGGCTGAGTGAGTACTTCGTGTTAGCAGCTGTGCTAGGTACTGGGAACACACTGGTGAAAAACATACCACCTTGTCTCAAGGAGCTTGCCATACTGTATTGAAAGTTGGGGATTAGGTTTGGAAGCTAGGTAAAATACTTGGAATTTTGGATGAAGACATTGGTACAATATCTTAATTTTGAAAATTAAAATATATAAACATGAATAGGCCTGTATTTGTAGTTGAAATAGTGCTTTTCTTTTTCTTTTGCTTAATTGTGTTTGGTTCTTATACTGAACAGGCAGCATGCATTTTTATCAACTTCTATGATCAGAAGGATGTTTAAAAATCAAGTATGTTTTCTATTTTAAGCTGGAATTTCATAAAATGGGTTATCTCTTTTTCCCATTAGAGTAGGCAATAAAGCTTTGAAAAATATTTACAGAATTTAATTTCAAAAAATATACATGTAGTTGGTAATCATAATTTACTTTTCACTGTTGGCTTTAACTTGATATTAAAGACTTTGAAAAGAGACCCAACCGAAAAGGGACAGTGGCTCCCAGTTGAATAATGGCCAGGTCCAGAGAGGCAGTGGTGTGGGGAGGAGAGAAACTGAGAAACTGAAATAATCTGACACTTACCACCTGGGTGACTCTAGACATTTAACTCTTCAAGCCTCAGTTCCTGCTGTCCTTTTTCCGATTTGTAAATTGCAAAGGGGAGACTGAGACCGTCAGGGAAATAATAGCATATAAAAAGCAAGTTGTCAACTGTACATCAAACATCAAGAAGAGCTTCCTTTGTTCTACTACTTTACACCCAGTTTATCTTCAAATACGCCTCCAAAATGATCAGATCCAGGGTAAGTTCCCTGCATGCTGACAGAAGAATCACAAAGACCAAGCTATAATTTGAATATTTGTCCACCCCCGAAAACTCATGTTGATATTTAATCCCCAATGTGGCAATTTTGAGAGTTAAGACCTTTAAGAGGCGATTGGGTCATGAGGGCTCTGCCTCCTGAATGGATGAATCTATTCATGGATTAATGGATTAATGGGTTAATGGATTTATGGGTTATCACGGGAGTGGGGCTGGTGGCTTTGGAAGAAGAGGAAGAGAGACCTGAGCTAGCACACTCAGCCACTTCACTGTGTGGTGCCTCCAGTTCTGCCTTGTGTGCTGCCTCCACCAGCAGGAAGGCTCCCGCCAGATGTGCCCCTTGAGCTTGGATCTTTCAGCCTCCAAAAAAAAATTTCTTTTCTTTATAAATTACCCAGTCTCAGGAATTCTTTTACAAGCTACAGAAAACTAATACAGACCAGGTGAGCAGAAATTCGCTTTTGCATGAAGATAAAGTAGATGTCGGCTCCTTTCTAGATTGGATTTATGCTTTCAGGTAGAATTTGAGATAACTCACTCTTCCAAATTTTTGATATCTCTACCTTCTTTAGGGCCTACGACACAGGTTTTAGATATAATTTGACAGACATTTAGGAAGTACAGAGTGCTGGATTCTAGATATTTAAAGATGAATTAAAATACAGTCTTTCATCTCTTTGGACCCGGACAGTGGAAACATCAGCATGATACAAAACATTTGATCATATTCTCGAAAATAGATTACATTATTATTTTTTCTTTCAATACATGACATCCAGATTAAAAAATCTTGAAACATGATGTTTTATCCTGTTGTTACAAAAGAAAATTGTAGCAAATAAAGGAAATTACCCAAATAGAATCTATAAGAAGTTAAGTCACTAACAATTTCTGCATGTGGTCACAAGCCTTTTAAGAAATACGTAATTACAAAACGCCTGGTTCTGTATTCACGCATCATATGCATATATCTATATATGTACATCTCTGTATACGCATATTTATGTATGTATTCATCAATATACACATTTAATTTAATTTGCAACATCTAACGTCTATAAGGAAAAACTGCTGTGTGCTTGCCTCACTACAAAGAAATTTGCACGGTCTTTATTAGGATGTAATGTTATAAAATTCTAGGTATTTACATGAAAAGAGAATAAAACATTAAGGAGAATTTCCTTTTTCTGTTTAATGCAGGGAACACCAATGGGCCATTTTAAAGCTCTACAAGTGCCAAATAAATTTCCAAAAGAGGTTATAATGTTTTAAACAAAGGATAACACCAACCACAAGAAAAAAAAAATCACAGAAACGAGGAGAAAATACACTTCCTGGCTCTGAAGCTGTTAAACATTCTGAGCCAGGAAACCTCCTTCACCGGGGCGGGGCAGGGAAAGTCTGGCTCTCCTGGGACCGATTCCCTGCTAAGTCGCCACAAGTTTTCCCTCCCTCTCTCCTCCATTCTCTGCCCCAGTCTCCAAACAGGGAAGTCACAGGAGAATGCCAACGCATACACCTGAAAGGTGTCAGAGTCAGACACGGATGCGTATTTATTTTAAATGCCCACGCACTTAAAATGGGCTGTACTTGCAGACAAACCCAAGGGATTCCAAACGACGCCTAGAAGTTCATCTTACAGATTGGGTGCCAAGCCTATAAAAGAACAACAGTAAAACAGAGCCAGCAGGACGTCGCTTCGCTCCGAAGGGTTCGCGCGTGGCGCGCAGAGCCGGTGCCCAAGCTGGGGCCAAGAGTCGGAGCCCCGAAAAGGCGCGCTGCCTCTTTAAAAGGCCGCGCATCTCCGGGCCGGCCTTCCTCCCCGGGGCTCCAGCTGTGATTGACGCTGGGCGGCGAGAGGAGGCG